TGTGTGTGTGTGTGTGTGTGTGTGTGTGTGTGTGTGTGTGTCACTGCTTCAGCACCACACCTGCCTACTGCCATGCTCCCAGTATTGGTCATGAACTCTAACCCTCTGGAACCATGAGCCCCAAATCAAACTCTTCCTTTTATAAGCTGTCTTGGTCATGGTGTTTTATCACACCAATATAAAAGTAACTAAGGCAGATGGGATACATTTACCCTTTTGGGTGAGAGATAGAATATGCTTTGAGTGTTCATGAACAGGATTTGGTGGAACAGTAGGCTGAGGATGCCAAAGGGATGAATGATTGACAGAATGAAATGCCTGCGGCTGAAGATGGGACCTAGTTTCTGAGAAGTGCTCTAAGTCCAGGTGAGTTTGCTACTAACCTGGTGACTGAGCTATCAGTCTATAAGTATATACACATATACATGTGTACACACATACACGCTTTTTGTAGAGTAGGAACAAAAGTCATTTTACAAGATAATAGGGTGATGAAATGGTCAAGGGTTTACCAGAAGGTCACAAATGCAGGAAGGGTGAGTTGACAAGTGAAAAAAAAAAGTTCATAAGTGGGGCGGGGTAGACTGTCCCAGGAGGCATTACAGAGTCTAGGTTCATAGGGTCTCATCGAGGAGATTCTAAATGTTTCTCCCACACTGCTCATCTTCTCTGGAGCATGAATGGAGAATATGGATGACTGGGGCCATTAGCCCAAGGATTAGGATTATTTCAGAAAAAAAATAATAACTGCTTGGAATGGCTCCCTACATTAAAAAAAATGAAAACCCCACATATTTTTCACAGATGTTCACATTAAACATATTTCTTTCAAATGTATGATATCCACTTTATATTCCTTTGATAGATGACTACCTTGCTTGTTCCCACTGCCTTCTACAAATGAGAGAGATAGGATGGCACGGTGGTTAAAGGGACTTCTGGACTTTTTTTCAGATACAAATTTTGCATTTAGTGCTTGCTGGCTGTGACCTCAGATAAATCACACACCTTTGAACCTCAGATTTCTCACTTGTGAAATCAGGATAAAGTTGACAACAGTACCCTATCCACAAGGTTGATATGAAAATCAAGTAGACCGGTTTACATAGCTACTGAATAGTAACTACTGTTATTGTTGCAACCCGAATGAAATAAACTCTTCTAAAAGGACACGCCTTCCCTCCCCCTCAATTAAGGAGTCCTGCTTGTGGGTGGTTCTTGGAAAGCACATGGCCCTCTGTGAAGCTGCAAGCCTTCTGCAGGCAGGCTCTATGATTTCTCCATGTTAGCTCTTTCAACACCAAGAAAACTGCCCTTAGATAAAGTAAAAGTAAAATGATACATGATGATGGGGAAGATGATGATTAGGGTGCCAGAAATTCTCATCCTTGTTTTTCCTGCCATTAGACAGAAAAGGAAATAAGGGGTATGACGCGAAACAGATTGCAGGGAGAATCTTACTTTTACCATCGAATAGCCTTTCTGCCGCAAATGAAAAGCGCGCACACACACACACACACACACACACACACACACACACACACACACACACCATTTACCTACTTAAATTGGAGCTTTTCGGTTTCCCTCTTCTGTTGCTAGCTATGATTCTGAGAATGACTATCAGAATAGCTTCTAGAATCACCTCTTTCATGACCATTGCTTTCCAAAAATGCCCTTTCCCTGACACTGTAGAAAGGAATTCCCTTTCTTCCAGGAAGCCCAACACCCTGTCACTTCTAATCTGTTAGATTTCAGCCCTTCACTCATCAGGCAGGGTTGTTCCATGTAATGTCTATTGTGTGATTCCTTCCTTCAGTTCTTCGTAGGTGACACCCCAATTTGTAACACGCTTGCCTCCTTTGTTTAATCACACACTCTTTCTACAACAGATAGCAGAATTCCTGCTCTATCAATTTCATAATGACAAGGCTATCATTTCCCCTCAAACTGGAAGCAACTTCCATTTTCTTACATGACCCCAACACCTTCTCTCTCTCTCTCTCTCTCTCTCTCTCTCTCTCTCTCACACACACACACACACACACACACACACACACACACACTTTGGCAGGCAAATACAGCAGGTAGCCATCGCATGTTCTTCAGGTTTCATTAGCCTATAACCTTTAGAAAGGAGGAATTTTCCTCATCCCCTTCATGATACATTGACTGTTGCAATAACATACCCAGATAATTTGTAAACTTCTGACTGTGGTGATACCCAGAGAATAAGAAAAATTAAAACATCCTTTGATCATCAAGACAAGGATCATGTATTTCCAACTTTGATTACATATTAATGGTGTGCACTCACCTGACACACAAAGACATTATGGTACAAATAAAACACTGCTGGCTAGCTGACAATGAAATCTTCACATAGTATGCATGATCATACTTTAAAAAATGATTATTCAGCTAAAGCTATGGAATACTGAATTAGAGAGAAGCAGGAGGAGGGAGGGAAAATGAAGTGACATTCAGGGTGAGAAATCTGGCATATACAAAGCATAGATTGTGCTTCTGAGTTATTGTTTTACAAAACCTGTTTTTGCAAGTTTGCTTGAGGTATCTCTCTAATCTTGTGCCTATAGACTTTATATCCCATCTTGTAACCCATGTCAATTGTCTTTCTAATAATGATTAAAATATTTGCTACTAAAAAAGAAGTGCCCAAACTTCCGAATAGAAAGTATGTCCTCTTAAGATGGTGTATGGCTATTCCAAGGATGTGACCATACTTCTCAAACTACTTCTAGAATTCCTCATTGGAATCATTTGGCAGCTGGAGGGTAAGTAGCAAGGCAGTCCATATATGCCTATGTGCAAATTTAACAATACTCACTTTATTCAAGCAATTTGACTTCAAATCACAGTTTGGGCTTTATCAAAAACAAAACAAAACAAAACAAAAACACAAACACAATTGTCCCAATGGACAACTTGTCTAGTATGAAAGTTACTTTTTTTTTAACGAAAGCATTTGCAGTGGCATATACAAGCTATCAAACAGGAACAACAGTTTAGAGTAAGGAAAGAGCCTGGGCTTCCCACAACAGATAATTTGGGGGTTAAAATGAGCTTAGCAGGAACGTTGGGTTTTTTTTATGCATAATGTTGGACCTGTGTTTAAGCAACCACGTTATGTTAATTTTGCCCTTTGGATCAATGATTTCTATCTAGTAACAAACGACCTTTTCAAAAATCCCGAAGTGTTCAAAATAGACTCTGAATTTAAAATTTCGCACAAAAACTCCGGGGCAGGGCATCAATCTGTGTAATGCTATTTCTGTTCTCAGCGCTTAAGCAGCCAACGCAGGTCAGGCAGGCAGACGCTAGAATCTGGTTTCGTTGAATGCTGGTGAAGTGCAGGGGCCTTCAAACAGATCAGAGGCTCTTAGCTCATTTAAAACCCCAGTATTTGAATAAATCGTTTAAGTTCAGTTCAATGGTTTTTGTTTGTTTCACAGTGTGATTCCTGTAATATGAGCTTTTAAAATAACTGTGAATCTTATTTTTGTGGCTTTTTAGCACTTACACCTCACAATGCTTGGTTGTGTGGTTTAAAATTGTTTTAATTTTTTGCGTTTCACATTCCTTTTGGCACTTTTGAAGAAAGGGGAGTGTTCTTTTGCGTCTTTTATGTTTGAGAATGAAGTGGTAACCCTCTCATTTCTGTCTTTTTAGTTTTAAATGTCTGGCTGTATGAAATCCACAGTTCTCCCCGGATTCTCGCATCATTAAGCAATAGAGGTGTAAATCTGCTATTACAAACTCTCCACCCTAACCTTTTTTAGAAGCTGCTATCCCTGGCTTCAGATTTATGCTGTTTGCCATCTGCCGTAACCAGATCTGGTGGTCCCTCTCGGAAGAACAGCACAACTGGGTTTTTGCGAGCCCACATGACCACTTCCCCTCCTGCCCCGCTAGCCAGGTTGGAAGAAGGCATCCTGCTGCAAGTCCCCAGCCTGCTGGCACAGCCATTTAGAAGGAGATTGCGGCTTCTGGCCTGCAAACCTAGGCCTTGGCTGGGCAAAAAAACATCCATATTCCTAGTCCTGTACCCCTCCTCACGGTTGCGTCCTAGGAGCATGGAAATGTTGGGGTTTCGGATGGCATAGATGACAGGGTTGATAGCCCCATTGGCCCACGTCAGCCAGACAGCCGCCACATTGAGCAGCGAGGGAGCCTGCGTAGCCTGACCCTGCCGAGTCGCAGCCAGAAGCACCAGGAAGCAGTAGGGGCCCCAGCAGCAGATGACGAAGATAATCATGATGAGCACGGTGGTGGCGGTGCGGACCTCGCTGAAGAAGCGCAGCACGCGGGCGTAGGTGGTCATTGGCCGCACGCGCACGTCCGAGAGGCGCACGGTCTTGCAGATGTGGTAGCGGCAGAAGCACATCAGCAGGAAGGGCAGCAGGTAGCAGGCCACCACCAACCCCACGCTGTAGGCGGCGCCCAGCTGCGCGGGGTCTGGAGAGGTCCGGTAAAGGCAGCGGTGGAAGCTCTGCGGAGCCGGGGGTTCCCGAGGCGCCCGAAGCAGCTCCCAGGGCAGGGAGAAGCCGAGCGCAGCCAGCCACGCACCGGCCAGTAGCTGCAGCGCGCGTCTCCGGCCCAGCTTGTCCCGCGGCGGCCGCACGATGGCGCAGTAGCGGTCCAGAGAGATGAGCGCCACGCTGAACGTGGACACGATGCCAAAGCACGAACTGAAGAAGCGGCTGGCGGCGCAGAAGCTGCGCCAGGGTCCCGAGTCTCCCGGAGGCGCGAACAGGTCTAGGAAGGCGGCAGGTAGACAGAGCAGCGCGGTGAGCAGGTCCGACAGGGACAAAGACAGGATGAAAGCGTTGGTGACCGTGCGCAGCTGCCGGTGCTTCACGATCACCCCCATCACTGCGCAGTTGCCAAGGCTAGACAGCAAAAAGATGAGCAGGAGCACGAGCGCCTGGGCGGCCACCGCCGCCCCATGCCACAGCAGCGGCGCCGGTCCCCGAGACCCCACTGCCTCCAGCCGGCCCGCATCGCTCTGGTTTCCCAGCGTTACCGTGGCGACGGCGCTGAACGACAGCGCGGCCGCGGTGGCCGTGGAAGCCGCCCCGCCCGGATGCGCGCTGCCCGGTAAGGCCACGCTTTCGGGCGGGCGGCCGGGTGGCCTCGCCTGCTCCTCCATGGGGTCCCGCGTAGACCGCCGCTTTGCTCATCCCGTAGCAGGGTGAAAGGCTGAGCGGACCCAAGCGGCCACCGCTAGGAGTGGGTGGGGCTCGGCCGAACGGGGCGGTCACCACCCAGGACTGGTGGAACCTTGACGTGGGTTCCAGGCGTTGCCGAGGGAACCGCCTGTTTACGCAGGAACGCAGGGCGGGACGCCAGCCGGGTAACCCAGAAAACCAGCCCACATCATCTCCTTCCCCAGCCCCAGGCGACCCAACCAGGGTCTGCGCATTTGAGGGCTGGTATGGTCCACCTCTGACACCTCTCTGTGCCAGAGACAGCCAGACCACTCCGCGTACGAATGGCAGATTCACCAAGGTGGTCTTGCTCTTCCCTGTCGGGCGCAGATGCCCAAAGGGGAAGCCTTTGTGAGGCGTACACAGGTAGGAAAGGAAAGCAGTCGACATCCAGAGTTCTTGAACTTGGGGGTGGAGGGTATTTCCAGTACCTCTATATGTTGAGCCAGCAACAGAGGGAATGTCACATGTGACTACGTTCCAATCTCAGTTTCAGATGATGTAGCTCTGAGGACCAAGAATTTGTATGGGTGGTGATGATGATAGTCCAAGGACCACACCTTGAAAACTACTGATGTAATGAACTTGTTTCAGTAGATTTCTTGCTGACTCAATATTCCTGAGTCTGGGTTCCTCCCTTAAGTCTGATTCTGAACAAGTGCTCTCAAGGACTGGCATGGGTTCCAGGAGGGAAGATACCAAGGTTCTGGACCTCTGGAGGGTAACTGGTTAATGCATGGGAGAGGGCAGAGAGAGGTGTAGGCTCCCCTGCTATTACCATTTGGTTTCTGGAACGTGTTATGTGTGGCATATAAGGAAGGCATTTCCAGCTACAGGCACTCTGGCAGATACCGAGTGGAGAGAGACAGGACCTGGCTGCCCAGCAAAGCTGTACCTCTAGATTGTGGCTATGGCCTTGAGAAGTTTAATTCAACCCTTGGGTTACCTGTGCTCTTTAAAGCAACTATTCACAAAGTGTGGGTCCTGGGCCAGCAACATCAGCACCACTTGAGAACTTTCAGCAATGCAAAATCAACTGATCTGATACTGATCTGGAGGAGGTCCAGACTTGTGCTTGGACAAGCTCTCCAGAAGATGCTAATGCACCGGCAAGCTTAAGAAACTCTTAAAGAATGGCTAGGATAATTGCAGGTCTTGGAACCCATATTAGTGCTAAAGTTTATTTCAGTGTATTCTACAGGAAACTTGAGAGTCCAAATAGAAGTGCATTTAAGGGTTTCTCAGCATCAACCTTACACAGTCTGGGCCAGATCATTCTTGGTTAGTGGGAACTGTCCCACAGAGGGTCCTTGGCAGCATTTCTACCCATTGGATGCCAGAAGTACATCTCAACCAAAACTGTCTCCAGAAATTGCCACATCCCCCTTCGAGGCAAAAGCAACCAATCCTAGCTGACAATCATCCAATACAAAAATACAGTACTTAGGTATTAATTTATTTAATTCAATCTTCAATCGTTAATGCCCAGTTTTAGGAAACAGCAAATAAGGGTTCTTGCCCTAAAAGATTTACAATCTTAGGCAGACACAAATGTATTACAGGGAAATAAGTGCTTTTAAAAATGCAAGAATGAAATGCAGTAGAGACCAAGTTGCTAGGGTAGTTGATAAAGACTTTGAATACTAAATTGGACTACTGAAAAGGGTGAGTATTGGAGAAAAGATATGGTGAAAGCAAACTTGACATCAAGAGGTTAGCGTTGAAGTTGTCAGTGTCTGTTTCTAGGCTGCATGCAATTGGGCAGTAAGAGGGAAATGTGTACAGCTTCCTTGGGACAGGACTGTGTGCTGTGCTGTGGAGAGTGAACTATGGAGGAGGAGGGTGCACTCCCACTAGGCACTGACCTTCACCAAACAAGGGCCAGAGTCTGGTACATGGTTCAACAATTCAAGAGGGACCTCGCACCCTCCATTTTGCTTTTTTCCTTGTCTGCACCAGTCTTCCCCTCTGCCAGTGGATCTCTTCCTATTGGGGTCCAGTCCTCTTCCCCTCCGAAGGTCCTCATCTCACTTTCAAGGCTTCAAAGACTCTCCATTCCTAACTCCACATCTAATTCCCATGGGCATGAATGGGATAGCTTAGGGGCATGATAGTGAGTGAAAAAGAAAGGGATGCTGAATAGAATGCGGTGGTGTGGGAGGGGGGTTAAAACCAAGAAGCAGTTAAAGAGTGTAAAGCATGGCAGGTGGGTGACAGTAAGACACAATGGTAACTTTTCTGGTGTCACCTCAGTTTGAAAGCTTCTTGTAGAGGTCAGCTCCATCCTTTACCTAAAAGACAGACTTATTTGAGTATTTTAGAGTAAAAACAAGTTGCTTGGTAAGGGCAGCTCACCTGTGAAACCTGGACCCATCAGGTAATTAACACAGATTTGCCAAAAAGTTTGTTACCAAAGTGGAGTCTCCCTCCAGACTCAGAGAGTTAGAAACAAGCCCAGCCAATGAGAATCATCATTTTAGGCCTTAGAGCTTTAGGTCATAATGTGTGAATTTTGAGGGGGTTGAAGGGTGGCCTGATTCTTAAGGAATCTAGAAGATTTGTAACAAGAAGAGGTTATGGATCTTAGCTCACACAATTGCAGCACCATGTGCAATTGGGGGCAGAGGACCAACCCAACAGTCTGGGGAGCCTCACTGGGCCACTCTGTGGGTGACCTCTGACCTTTTCGCTAGAAACCTCCTCCAATATAGGTAACACACTTGACTGCAAGGATCCAGCAGCAGTGTCCACCATGGGTTTGATGAACCCTTCAATGACTCATAACTGACAGGCCAAGCAGTTTCCAGAGAGTAATGATGCAGAAAACAGACAACAGTTACATACATGAGGAAAGTATATCTAGAAGCTTGACTCCTGAGGGAAGGAGTTAGGGGTGGGAACAAGCTAAAAAGAGGGACAGGTGTGCTTGCCTCATCATCTTTATGGTGGACACTTGGGGGATGTCACTGAGGGGAAGGAGGTTGTGGGTGCTGTGGTTTGTTCATGAGGTAAGCCTTGAGATGGACTGGGTTACAGGGAACAGTGTGGAAGCAGCATGGACAGTGCTGGAAGTGAGATTGATCTCCCTAGTCTTTCTGACTCCAAGAAAGGCAGAGTGAGGGTCAAGATAGATGAGGACAGCGGTTCTCAACCTTCCTGATGCTGCAATCTTTAACACAGCTCCTCATGCTGTGGTGACCCCTCAACCATAAATTCATTTTCATTGCTACTTCATAATTGCAATTCTGTTACTGTTACAAACTGTAAGCATCTGTGTTTTCCGATGGTCTTAGGAAACCCCTGTGAAAGGGTCATTAGATCCCTAGAGGTTGAGAACCGCTGGATTAGAATGCCGGATGTTAGCTAGTACCGGTTTGTTGGAGTCACAGTCTCTGGACTGACTATTCCAGAGTGAGTCAACATGCTTGCCCGGCATCTCCGTATAGAAGTGAGATGAAGCAATGGCATCCCACAGGTGAGGCAGAGAGCTCTACCCCGAGGCAGTTAATGGGGGATGTACTGTCTGTGACAATTCTAAAACAAGAAGGGAAATAGCTTAGTCATCTGCATGTCATTAGCAACAACTCTGTGACAGATGATTCCCAACTCTGTGACAGATAAAGATCTGCACCCTTGGCAGCCATGGGACACTAACCGTAGAGCGCTGCTTTCAGATAGAGCGTGTATAAGTGGCAATCAAGAAATGTGACTCTAAAACACCATATTTGTTCTAATTAATGAGACATGAGATTAGGAGAGAAAATAGCGGTTCTACTTTTATTTCTTTAAATGCAGCAAGCCACCTACTCTATGGAAATTTAGTCACACTGAGCTAATGACAGTGTCTCCTTCCCTTTCTCCTTTGAAGTGAGTGATGGTGTCGACACAAAAGCTGAACTGCTTGGGGTAATAAAAAAATATTCACTTCATATTTTTCTGTAGGTTAGGTAATAAAGTTCCAGACCTCCAAAAATCGCAGAGCCACTTATCATGGGTTAATTCAGTCCTGGTGTGCACAGAACTGAAGTACTATCACAGCCTCCCAAAAGATCTGCTGAGTTGTCTGAGGACAGCACAGTTAATGTTTCAATTTATGATGACTGACAATGATCCAATTTATTTTAATCCTGAATCAATCTTCTTGGCTCTACCCACCATGTGCTTGGATTACAGGCATGTGTCCCCACACCTGGCTTTCAAGAACTAATTTTAACAGGCTCAAAGGTAATTATTGTGTGGTCTATAAATGACGCTATCATTCAAAGACACTTTAAAACAAAGCACTGCCATGCCCACAGCATAGATTAAGTAACTAGTTTTTAATTTTGCATGTGTATACTGATGATTAAAAAGTTTCTGAATTTTTAGCACTTTGTATGCCACATCAGTGATATTTTATGCTCAAAAGGTTTGCAAGTAGGAAGTATAATGCCTTGCATTTAGTCATAGTGTTCTATTTTAGAAAGTGTAGAAAATTAGCCAATATGTATAACTGGATGCTGGTTTTAATATGATACAGAAAAAACATCACTTATTGGTAATTACTTTAAAAAGAAAACCTTAAAACATATGGGAAAGGTCACTTGAGAAGAAAGCCATCCCTCAACGGGTCATCGTCTTCCACTGTCAGGCTTGCTGTCCCTGTGTAATGGGCTTGTCCTGCAACTTCCACTATGACAGCTTTAAAATCCCCACATGTTGCTTCCTGGAAAAAAAAAGACAAAAGGAGCACACTAAGAAAATCCTGCAGTTGTTTGGTGTCTCTAAGGCTGGGCTCTTGGCTCTTACACTTACAAAAACCTACATGTTGCTCCCTCAGACACAGGAAGGTTTTTCAGGGGTGACAAGGTCAGATGTGTGTTTTAGTTAGCTGGAAAGAGGGGCACACAGAAGAGGGACTTGAAACCCAGAAACCTGCTAAGAGGGATACTCTGTCACAAAAAGAAAAACAAAAGAATTCTGGTTTCCTGACTGACACCTGGAGTCATGATACAACAGTGAAGAGGAGGAGAATACAAGCTAAGTTGCAGGTAGAACTGACTGCCTGGCAATGCAGACAGAGGGGAATTGTGAATATGACAAATCTGACTGTAGTTTCTAGCTTGGAAGTGACATTATTTAAGCTATTGACACGGGTGAAAAGAGGGGGGAGGGAGGGAGAGGGAGAGAGGAGAGAGGTGGTTTGAATGAGAACGGCACCATGGGCTCATATGTTTGAGTATAGGGTCACCAGTTGGTGGAACTGTTTGGGAAGGATTAAGAGGTGTGGCCTTGTTGGAAGAGGTGTGTCACTGGGAAGGCTCTGAGGTTTCCATAGCCCACTTCATTCCCAGTTACTTTTCTCTCTGCCTTCTGCTTTTGGACCAAGATGGAAGCTTCCAGCTATTGCTCCACAGCCATGTCTGCATGTGTATTGCCAAGCTGCCCAGCATGATGGTCATTGACTCCAGTCCTCTGAAACTGTTAGCCCCAAATTAAATGCTTTCTTCTCTAAGTTGCCTTGGTCATGGTGTCTTATTGCAGCAATGGAAAAGTAACTAATGAGAGAGGGGGGGAGGGAGGGAAGGAGGGAGAGACAGAGAGATGGAGGAGTTTTTAGTGTGCAGAATTTAAGACACTTAGGTAGTCACTTAGAGATGAGTATAGTGAACTGCTAAAGTGTTAGGTTGGACAGAGGTACAGGACAGACAGAGTTGGGATGAAGTTTTGGGACTTATCTTCAGCAGATGGTTAAGAATGGAAGTCCAGGAAGTAGATGGAATTGTCCAGTATCATCAAATTTGGAGAGGGACTAGAAGGAAGCTAAGGACCAAATGCTGGGGTCATGGAATTGGAAGGGCAAGGAATGAAACTGAGAAGCCATTTTCAGAGACCCTGGAAGGCGCGGGGCTCTTTTGCACAGCGAAGGGATGAAGAGCAATGAGGAATGGGCAGATAAAAATCACCAGCTGAGAATTTGCTGTACTTTGAGTATGAAATGTCCCCCGTGGTTAATGTGTTTGAACACCTGGCTCCTTGGGGAAATTGTGGACCTTTTGGGAGGTAGAGGCTCACTGAAGGACTCACTGGGGGTGGGCCTTAATGTTTTATACCCAGCCCACTTCCTGCTCACTTTGCTTCCTGACAGCTGGCTTCCCCTTTGCTGCTGTGTCTTCCCTGCCATTGTGGAACACATTCCCTTGAACTGTAAGCTAGAATAAAACCTTCCATTGGGTATTTGGTTGCAGAAATAATAAAAGTAGCAAATAAAAAATCTTACTTGTAATGTCTTTGCTTTTCTAATTTTTAAAATAAGAATAACCAAAAGTAAAATGTCAACTACAAAATCCAGGTACAATAGCTTCATTATTTATCACTTTAATAGTGCAGGTGGGACCCATGGCCTTGTGCTTGCTGAGCCAGTGCTCCACCACTGTGGTTGCTTGAATGAGTATGTCACTGGGGGAGGGCTCTGAGGTCTTAAATGACTCACACCACTCCCAGTGTGCTCTCTGCCTCCTGCCTGCCATTGGAGATGAGTTTTTAGCTGTTCCTGGTACTGTGCCTATGATGATCTAGATTCATGTGAGGTTTAAATGAAGTAGCATTCATAAAGTTCTTAGCTTGGAAACTGGCACACAATAAAGTTCCTAATAAATACGGCAGGTTATTATTTCATCTCCAGTTCCAGACTCTGAAGACACTGTTCCACATCATTGCACAGAGCATAAATGGTTTGGTATATTATAAAATCACTGTGATATGTGGATACCTAGTGTAAAGATAATTCAGTATTTGTGGGGGAGGCCCTTAAAAACAGCTGCATTAGGGTAGCTTGCTTCCTATGTTAAAGGACTCTCCATGAGTATATTCATTCACTAACGTAGGTCCATCATTCTATAACAGGTTTCATTTACTACTGAGTAGATTCATTGTTAGTACATTTGCATTTCATTTCATTACAAAAATTCTATTTTTTCACAACTCACATCTTTTATGTGCTACTACCTGAATTACAATACTTCCCCAGAACAAGTCAAAAAACTCTTAATGTGGCACCTCTCAAATCTTTTGGTCTCAAGACCTCTTTACACCTTAGTATTTGAGGACCTCCACGAGTTCTTCTTTATGCACGTTATACATCTCTATACTTATTGGGTAGAGATAATTGTTCATTGCTTCATTTGAGAACAAGCTGATTATACAATAGTATAAACACACCTTATGTAAATAAAAATAGCTGCCTGACAAAAAGTTTTAAATGAGAAAAGCGGCATCATTTTACAGTCTTGCCAGGCCATCTCGTCTGTCTCAATAGAAATGGCTGGATTCCCACCTGCTTCTGCATTCAGTCATTCACGTGTCTGGGCTATCACCCATCATGTGGCCTGTGGAGAATACCCTCACTATTTCTGAGTGAGTGAAAAATAAACTATGTCTTAGTATTATGATGAACATAGTTTTGACCCATGGAAAGCACGGTGGGTCAAACCAGAGGTGCCAACACTACACTGTGAAACTCGATTGTTGAACAGAAAGAAGTCTTTACAGGCCTGATTTCAAGTGCTTGTCTAAGAGTACAGAGAAGGAAGTTATTATCCAGCAGCCAGCTCCTGACTCTGTGGGCTCACAACAAGAAGTCAGAGTTACACTCACCCTCACAGCACGCCCCGTGAACACGGAGCCAGTTGCACTGCTTTTGAAGGCTCTGGTCTGATTCAGCTGCAGAAGGCCCTTATGATACTGCAGAGCAATCCGGGCTGTCACTCCCGAGCCGGTGGGGCTCCTGTCGACCTGTTTCAGAATCGTAATGTAATGACAGGAACTGAGTGTTGTCTACCAGCTGTTTCTGGTGTTTAAGCCTAACAGTTGTAGTCTTGATACCTGTTCATCTGCAAACACGCAGATGTTGGTGGTGGGCTCCTCGCTGTAAGCATCTTTTCCATCTGTTAAAATCGTTCCATACAGAAAACCAAGGTCTTCACTCTCGGGATGGCTGATTTTAAACTGCAAATAAAATGGCCATATGTAAAATTTTTATTCAAATTTTGCCTTTAGAAATAATATCAGTGACAGACTCTCAGACATAATTTTCTCCGTATGTATCACTTTTGAAATTACCTGTGGGATAAGTCTAAATAAATGCTTGATATTGTGTTACTCTCTAGATACAGTTTTATTGGCAGTTATGATTCTGCAGAGGAGGCTGCTCTGTATCTAGCCTCAACTAAATGAGCAGTCCTATTTTATCTGCATGCCCAGCACACACACTGTGTGACTCACTGAAATCACGGTGGTTAGTCCACAGGCTGTCTATGCCTGAGCTAACACCATCACATGGAAGGGAAGAATGTGGAAAAAACTAGCAGAGTAAAACTTTTAAAAAGGAAAGTCGAAAGGGTTCAGAGGCTAGTGGCAAGTAAACAATTGGATGAAGTGGGAAAAACAGACACAATTAGAGGCTCCTTAAACAGCCGTGCCTATGCACAGACACACAGAGCCCAGGGCTGTGGGAAAATGTATTCAGGCCCAAAAGCATAAAGCTTCCAGTTCTTAGGAGGTCCAGTAGTTGAGCTTTTCCTGGACTTCTGTGGTATTTGACAATAATGTCTGAGATCACCATACTCATCTTCATACATGTGTCACATACCACTTAGACCTGGGTCCCTAAGATCCAGTCTATCAAACCTAAGTTAAAAAGACCCACAAACTTGTTTTTGCCATTGCTTAAAGTCCCATGCCTTCCTCCACTATGGCACCTGCCATGCGTGTGCTAGCTCCTTGCCCTGGATCAAGCCCCTGGGACACTGGGGTTTGTCCTTCCTCTGGGTCTCCTGAGCCTAGCTTAGTGTCTGACATACACAACACATTCTTGTAAATATGTGGTAAGGGGATAAGGTTGAACTTAGAGCACATTAACTGTGGACCTTGCTCTACAAAAGGTCTTTTCCTAAATCTGCATCAACAATGTGGATAGCCAACAACTGACAAATGACTTCTTCTGCCCAATACTTTCATGATGGACCATTAATTCTCTCAAAGTACAGGGACTCTGGATTCTCTCAGAGTCTACCCTTTGCCTCCACAAGGTCCCTCGTCTTTGCAGAACACATATCAAGTCCTAATTTTTCTACACTAACAAATGCACAAAATGCCCCACCATATGCAATGTCCATCACCACCTTTCCATGTCTAGAAACATCCACCGTGATGTCGGAAAGAGGCATTTATAGCTAAGTTTGTTAGAAAAAAAACACCTTGTTTTCATCATGGGCTTTAACAGAAAAGCCCCAGATTACTCCTTTAAAAAAGAAAACCAACCCCCCCTTTTCTTGGTTTCATTAAAAAATGAAGTGGAATTATTTTATATTAAGTTTTTAAGCCATTATCTGTTTGATAGGATAGAAAACTGATGTAAATTGGGAGTGTTAGAATTTACCATGATAAAACAATTCTGTATATTGGTATTGATAGGCCCAGAAAGTGGTAATTTCAAATAGTAATATGCTGTGTATGTTCTTTTAAAAATGTCTGTTTTTATGTATGTTTTGCCTGCATGTACGTCTATGCATGTGTGCCTGCTATTCAAGAAGCCAGAAGAGGGCACTGGATCCCCTGGAACTTGAGTTAGGGATGTCTGTGAGCTACCATGCAGGTGCTGGGAATGAACCTGGGTTCACTGCAAGAGCATCCCGTGTTCTTAACCCCTTAGCCATCTCTCCAGCCCAATGCTACGTATTTTCATTTTTCTACCTTTTATACATTTTGTCAAACTGAAGCCTTGTTAAGTGAACCCATAATATGATCAATACAAGTATATTAGATACCACCATGCTATTCATGCTATTTTTATTACCACTAATTAAATTGTAACATTCAAATTCGGTAATGCTCTCTCATCTATGAGTGCTGACTCAAGGTAGATTGGCAGAATTATGCTAGAAATGAAAGGATACTCTAGAGTCCCTTACCAACTAAAGTGACTTGATTTTAAAAGTAGGAAAACCGAGACACATGGAGGTGAGGTATGAGTGCTCTCAGTGTCAAAGCAAGAGTTCACAAGTTGACGCTAGAGCCCTTCAGCCGGTACACTGGTCTTAGTATGACTAAAGAATTGGGTGTGTTCATGTCTAATTTCCTTATGGGTGGGATCATTTGTATTCACCTAAGCACCAAGCGAGACATTTGTCATCAAGGTAGTACTGGGACTCACCTGAGCCTTCACTGCTTCTGTCACTGTGCTTGCTGCCTCCACAAGGTCCCTCGTCTTTGCAGAACACACATCAAGTCCTAATTTTTCTGCACTAACAAATGCATAAAATGCCCCACCATATGCAATGTCCATCACCACCTTTCCATGTCCAGGAACATCCACCGTGAGGTCTGAAAGAGGCATTCACAGCTAAGTTTCTTAGGAAAAAAAATCACACTGTTTTAATCATGTTTACTCAAAGAGGGAACTTTCACAATAAAAAGCAATGAAGCAGAAATCCATTTTCAAAATCAGTGTTGGGTAAATGAGAGCTATGTACATTTTCTTGCTTAAAATGGTGGTTTGCCTAAATGGTGCCTGATGGTAGTCTGGATGTTGTGTTTCTCTTCGATTATATGTACACATCTGTTAACTACTCTTGAGGTTCTTCTGTCGGAAACATCACAGACGGTGACTGAGAGATGGGGAAACTCTGGGGCAGCTATCTGTGAGACCATGAAGGAATACATACTAGTAGGGAAGGCTTCAGATGGGATTTGAATGCTATTCGCAAACTGGTAATCATCAGTTTATAACGATCATCATCAGTTATAATGACAAAAGGAACATCTTACAGATTTTTTTTCTAAGCTGGGCATAAGCAGCTCATGCCCATAACACTAGCACTGGGCTTGCAGGCATGCACCACAACGCCTGCCTGCCACTTCTCTTCTTAAATAACTAAATTGCTGATACTGGAAACTGAGACCATGAGTATATCCCCTGTGGCAGACTCATTCCCTACACTACTTCCTTAACTACTTAAGCACTGACAGACAGGAACTGCGACTTAAGACACTCCCGTAATTCTGAGACGCCCACCAAAAAAGTGGCACAGCTTGGGGTCAAACTCAGAAGCAGTTAACTTTCATGTCTCAACCCTTTCCCCTGAAATATGTAACTTGCATTTAGAACTCAATCCCAAATCTAATATCTTTCCTTTGGTCTATGCAAGCTTATGTCCAGGATTTTGAATTGATTTCCTTCAGGTAACACTTAGGGCATACTTACCAGAAGATTATATACCATGTAGAAGACTAAAGGTTTACAGGATGAATAAAACAAACTTTCTTCTCAAGTTCAGTTAGACAAGAAAGATAAAATCTCAAATGTATCATGTGGTGTGAATGAGGTTGAATATGAGATTTCCAGAAAATTGAAATGTATGTCTGTGAATTGCAAAAATGTCAGAGATGAAAGGTTAATTTTTCAGGCTTGAGTTTGGCTCCTGCTCCTCAGTATGACTTTGCACAGGTTAGTGTAGGTGTGGTGAATGCTAATGTGAAAGCCAAAGTTTAATTTCCAATAGGAATGGTATTCTCAAGAGGCCCAAATAGCCACAATTGCCAAATGGCACATTCTCCAAATTTCATGTATTTAGCTACTCATTCAGCTACTATTCACTTACAGTCAACTATTGTAGACCCTTAGGATACAGTGAACAAAACCAATGTCATTTATCATGCAGGGCTGCAGTGAACTCTGTAGGTGGATACGGGTTGCACCTTCATTTAACAGCTGGTGACTTTGCTGAACAAAGCTGCTGAGATGGGGGGAGCAGATCAAGGCTGCCCACCATGCCCCTGCCTTTTATGTGCTTCTGAGGGTGCAGGGTTTCCTGTTCCTAATGCTTCAGCATGACTACTCCAGTCCATTGATGCTTGTGCTGCCACTCAGGGATGCTGCCAGGAACTCTGGTATCAAGGTTTGGCTAGCCCTCTCCTTACCAACCTGGGAGTAATATGCAGTTGACACTGCTGCCACCAATTGTTGGGTCTCACAAAGTGGACCCTCCAACTTGCTGCTTTAGTTGCCTAGGGAGAAATTAGGTAGCCATCCAGTTAAACGACTGTTTTTTAAAAAAAAAACATAAAATCATAACTGATCTCCCTCAAGTGCCAATCTGGTTGTGATACCATTTTCTTAAAGGGCATCAGATTCCACAGAAGCATTCATCACCACAGGTGTTTGCCTACTGAGGTTGCTCTAAGCCTGTTTTGTAACAGTGTCATTCACACCCAGGCTGACCTAGAGTCTAATTATTCCGGGAGGATCAAGAGCAGATTTTCTAAGAATGCTTCAAAGACTTGGGAGAAAGGCAGTGCTACATAAGAGTATTCCTGGACTGACTGAATTAGCTCCCGGCTCCTGGCCAGTCAGATATTAAACATCTGCACCGACAAATTCCATCCTGCAGGTGGCAAAGCTCATGCTAGAGAGCTACAAACTCCAGAGACAATAAGAAACAGGCAAACCATTAAAGAAGCTCAATGCTTAAGTAACTTCCATTTTGTGTTGGACCACATTCATAGCTATACTGGGGCACATGGGCCCTGCAAGCTGCAGGCTGGATGCTCTTGCTAGCAGTGGTTCTCAACCTTCCTAATGCTGCGACCCTTAAATAGAGTTCCTTGTGTTGTGGTGACCCACAACCATAAAATTATTTCCATTGCTACTCCATAACTGTAACGTTGCTACTGTTATGAATTGTAATGTAAATATCTGTGTTTTCTGAGGGTCACAGGAGACCCTTGTGAAAGGGTCAGGCATCCCAAAGGGGAGTTGGGACCCACATGCTGAGTACAACTTGTACTAGAAGGACACCTGACATAAAAGACAAAACACCAGCTTCCATAGAAGTTCCTCTCCAGATAACCTGCTTGGAAAGATACAAAGGATCTATACTAGAGAACCCAGAAAACCTGTTCATGTTTCTGTACATCCAGGAAACAAACCCTCATATCTTGAAGTCTCTGCTTTTTTTTTTTTTTTTTTTAAGATTTTATTATGTATACAACATTCTGCTTCCTTGTATATCTCTGCACACCAGAAGAGGGCACCAGATCTCATTACAGATGGTTGTGAGCCACCATGTGGTTGCTAGGAATTGAACTCAGGACCTCTGGAAGAGCAAGCAGTGCTCTTAACCTCTGAGCCATCTCTCTTCTGAGCCAGAAGTCACTGCTTCTTGATGAATATTTTTTCAGATGTTTAAAAAATTCTACCAGCACTCAGGAGGCAGAGGCAGGTAGATAGATCTCTATGTGACAGAGGCCAGTCTGTCAACCTAGACGTTCCAGGGTTTCATTCAAGCCAGGGCTTACAGAGTGAGACCCTGCCTCAAAACAAAAGCCAACATGTATTGGCCTTTCAGAAAACAAAATTCTAAGAATGTTTTATGTGCTCCTTTTTAACCATAAGAATCTCTGGAAACAAATAAATAAATAAATCTCTGAGTCAGGGATCTCAGGTGTTGTCAGCTTATGCATCCAGGCAAAAGCAGCAACATCTTCATTTGCAAATTTAGTTCTTCCCCAAAGCCAAGGGATCTCACTGTGTAGCTCATGCTGGGCTGGAACTGACATCCTCCTACCTTCAGAGAGAAGGCACTTAACAGCTGGGGAAAGGACAGGTCATGTTCAGTAACTTATTAGTAGTTATGTGCTTACCAAGCACATTCTAAGCTAGACTGGAACCCGGGCACACACACTGTCCTTTGCTCTTAACTTCATTCTACCGTGAAAACTCCACGAATGCCTGACAGACATTGAGTCAGGATCTTGGGTAAAGGAAGCACAGAATTCTTCACCACTCCACTCAAAACTCCCTCAGGTCTTGCATGGATGGGTAGGCTCTGCAAGATAACTGAATTGCAACCACCAAGACGCTGAGGCGTGTTTGCAGCAACTTGGAATTACCTTTTTATGAATTGCGAGGGCAGCCAAGGTAGGTTAGTTGCACGGGTTTATTCAGCACACAACAGTGGTTAGATTCGTCTGGACTGTGTCCCAGCCTGGACACCCTTTACCTGCGGCCAGGACGAAGGCCGGGACGCTGTGGAAGCGCACAGGACCGCAACTACGGCCACCTTCACACGCCACGAAGGCGGCCACCAGCCCGCACGGGCAGTGGATGTTGACCTGGGCCTCCCGGACGCCTTGTGGGGGAGCGGGCACCAGTCCGAAGTCCAGCGCGAAGCGGCCTAGCGCCAGCACGGCGTGGCCGCACATGGAGCTGTAGCCTTCGTTGTGCAGGAACAAGACGCCCAGGTGAGCGTCGGGCAGCTCGCTCCGCACCAGGACCGCCCCGTACATGTCCCGGTGGCCGCGGGGCTCGGG